AACAATCTCAATACCCTCACCATTTATCATAATCCTGCCAATTGGTCCAGTGGTGAGAATCTTTGTTTTCTTGATGTTGAGCTTCAATCCGCATTGAAGGCTGCAGTCTTTGACCTTATGCAGCAAGTGCTTCAGGTCCTCCTTAGTTTCAGCAAGCAGGGTTGTGTCATCTGCATAACACAGGTTGTTGATAAGTCTTCCTCCAATTCTAATGCCATATTCCTCCTCATAGAGCCCAGCCTCCCAGATGATCTGTTCTGCATATAGATTGAAAAGATATTTAGATAGGACATATCCTTGGAGTACACCCTTCCCGATTTTGAACCAAGCAGGAGTGGCATCCATTTCCTAAACAACATGCCTCTGCAAACTCTATGAACTTTGATAAATGGTGATAGTTATAGAAAGGCTATAGGCCTTTTGTTCATAGGGTTGCTACGAGTCATGCTTGACCCAACAGCAATCAACAACAGTATTTCCTTGCTCTGTTCTGAAGACTGCCTCCTATTCCAAGTATAGATTGCACATAAGCATGATCAAATCTTCTGGGATTCCCATTCTTCTCAGAATTAGCCACAGTCTGTTGTGATCTACACAGTCAAATAAATGCCTTTGCAAACAACTTCGATACAAATGGAATATATTACTTTTTTTCCTGATTGCTCATAGAATGCTTTTAAATTTTTTGTCCATATTCATTGTGTTGGGAAGGCAGTAAGCAGCTGTAGTATTTATTTCCTGTATAGAAAACAGGGAACAAGTGTTTGAATTTTGAGTAGACAGACACCTTTAAATTTCTGAGAGGCATAAATCTGAAAGCTAAAGAATATATAGTTTATATAAAGAGTAATAATTTTAATGCTTAAAATCAAACTATGCCCTGTATTCATTAATTTTATTTGATGAGATCTTTTGAGCTATTTTACCTCTTCAAATAAAAATGTCAGAACGGTACACAATCAACTCTACATTATGCATCATTACAAAAACACTCAAGAATTATGAAACAGTGTACAAATGAATGAATCTTGAATAAACTGCATTGAGTTGTGTTAAGTACTCACTAAAGGACAAACACGGTATAAGATTACTCACAAAAGGTTGAGGAAAGTTTATATAGACATAGAATCAATCTTGGAGGGTTAATGGGGGCAAAGAGAGGTAGATGGTAAAAGTGAATACAGAGGTAGTTGGGTGCATGGGTGGGGGATCAAACAGTGTGCAGAGTTCATGTTGGTTATCAGAAAGAAGTTATTAGAAAGAAGGGATCCCTGCCCCATATTTACCCACTTCTAAGATAGTTATTTTTTTTTAATAAAAGATAAAGTTCTTACACAACTCTCTTAAAATATAAATAATGCGGGGGAAGGTGTGATTACCCCAGGTTGTTGTTGTTGTTGTTATGTGCCCAAAAAAAAGTCAAGTCGTTTGCGACTCATAGTGACCCTATGTACAACAGCCCTAAACCCTGCTCTATCCTGCGCCAATCGCATGGCCTCTGACACACCCATCCCGATTACCC